AAGGGGAAATTCTTGAAGAAAGATGGTAGGTTTGAGAAGAAGAACGATAAAGTTCTACAGATTTCTTATGTCGGTAATACTCATACTATTAAGTGTTATCATTGTACGAAGGAGGGTCATACAAGATAAGCAGACCCGGGTGGACTGAACAATCATGGTTGAAAGGAATATGGTAATGCAACCATTGTGCAAGATGTTTATGAACCATTTGATGTCCTGGTGGTTTCAAGCAATGACTCTAGCAAGGAGTGGATTATGGATTCAGGATGTACTTGGCACATGACTCTAAACAAAGACGTGTTTGAGGAATTGTGTAATTAAGATGGTGGATCAGTGTTGCTGGGAAACAACAAAGCTTACAAAGTTCAGGTATGGATCTGTGAGATTCAAGCTCCATGATGAGTCAATAAGGCTATTGACTGATGTTAGGTATGTAACTGATTTTAAGAGGATATCAATTTCTCTTGGTGAATTTGACAAGAAATGATATGTTTTTAAAGGACAACAAATCATCCTAAGGGTAACGAAGGGGTCGAAGGAAGTCTTGATAAGCGTGAAGAAAAAAGGCTTGTATACCCTTGAGGTTGAGATTGTAAGTGGTTCAGCAGATGTGGCATCCATTAAACTTGTGTTGAAGACTGAGCTATGGCACAAGAGACTTGTCCATGTCAGTGAAAGAGACTTGGTCGAATTATTGAAACAAAATACGTTGGGTGGTGACAAGGTCGAAAACCTGGAGTTTTATGAACCTTGTGTATTTGGTAAATCCTGTAGAATGAAGTTTAACAAAGGTAAGCAAAGAACACATGGATCCTTTCATTACATTCATGCTAATCTTATGGGATCTGTCATGAATCCTTTGCACTCATGTGCAAAGTATTTTCTATCCATAATTGATGATTATTCCAGAAAGTTATGGGTATTCATCCAGAAGACTAACGATGAAACTTTTGAAAATTTGAAAAGTTGGAAGACTCTGGTCGAAAATCAAACTGGCAGGAAGGTCAAGAGGTTGAGGATCGACAATGGTATTGAATTTTTCAATGAGGCTTTCGACAAATTTTATGCTGCGTCTGGTATTGTAAGGAATAGAACTACTGTAAGAACTCCCCAAAAATTGTTTGAATGAAAGGTTTAACTAAACCATTTTTGAAAGGGTTAGATGCATGTTAGTTAGTGCGAGATTAAAGAAGGTATTTTGGGCAGAAGCTGCTGTGACTGTAGCATACCTAATAAATAGGTGTCCCTCGACAAACTTGGGAATGAAGACACCTGAAAAAGTTTGGTTGAGACATCTACCTAATCTCGACAGACTTAGATTATTTGGATGCTTAGCATATTCTCACATTAGGCAAGACAAGGTAGAACCTAGAGCCCTAAAGTGTATGTTGCTTGGATTCCCTAAAAAAGTCAAAGCTTATAGGCTATGGTGCCTAGATCCAGGTACATGAGGTGTATCACAATTTGAGATGTAGTTTTCAATAAAGCAGAAATGGAATTCAAGAAAATTGATGACTTTGGTCGAAGTACCATTATCTCTGAAGAAGAGCTAGAACATGAAGAGCTTCCTATTGAGGTGGAACATAGTAATGCTGAATTATATAACCTAAATGAAGTCGAAGTAGAAGCAAAAGCTACTATAGAAGATGAGGAGGTTGATAATGACTACCTACTGGCAAGAGACATGTCGAGAAGAGTCATCAAGCCACCTTAGAGATTTGGTTATGCAGATCTTATAACTTATGCCTTAATTTTTGTAAGTGAAGTTCTGGATGAAGAATCTAGAGACTATAAGGAAGTTGTGAGGAGTCGAGACAAGACTGAATGGGTGAAAGCCATGGATGATGAGATGAAACCTCTTCATGATAATAAAACTTGAGAGCTGATTGAGAAACCTGCAGGGGCCAGGTTAGTCACCTGTAAATGAATTTTCAAGGTTAAGGAAGGAATCAAATGAGTAATGTCGAAGCAATTTAAAACAAGGTTGGTTGCTAGGGGGTTCACTCAGAAATAAGGTGTTAATTTCATGATGTGTTCTTACCTGTTGTAAAGCATAACTCCATTTGAATACTGCTTGCTATGGTGGCGAAGTTTGACCTAGAAGTTGAACAAATGGATGTGAGGATAACTTTCTAGTATGGTGATCTAGATGAAACAATCCTGATGAGGTAATCTATAGGGTATGCAGAAAAGGAAAAGGAAGATTATGTGGGCAATTTGAATAAGTCTTTGTATGACCTGAAAAAATCTCCTCGACAATGGAATAGGAGATTCGGCAAGTTCATGGCACACATAGGTTTCACTAGAACCCAGTTCGACCACTGTGTTTACTTCACATTTTAACCTGGAAATTCACTTGCTATTATGTTGCTTTATGTTGATGACATCCTCATAGTAAGTAACAATGTTGAAAATGTTATGAAAGTGAAGGCTGAAATCGATAAGAAGTTAGACATGAAGTTTGAGAGTTGCCTCCAGAACTCTTGTGATTGACATCCGAAAAGATAGAAAGCAGTCGAGATTATGCTTATCTCAAGAGACATACCCAAAAAAGATTCTCGACAAGTTTGGCATGTCGAATTCAAAGCTTGTTCTAACACCGACTAACCCTCAGTACAAGTTAGGTATGACTCAAAGTCATAGTACTGAAGTCGAAAGAGCATATATGAATAACATTCCATATGCTAGTATAGTAGGTTCTTTGATGTACGTTATGGTATGTACGAGGCCAGACATATCGTACGGAGTGAGCCTTGTAAGCAGGTATATGACCGATCCTTGGAAGACGCATTGACAAGCATTGAAGTGGATTCTGCAGTACATGAGTGGGTCTCTAAGTAGAGTCCTGATTTATGGTGGAGCCTGTGATGAAGATATCAAAGTAGAAAATGAAGGACTTGTCGACTCTGATTATGCAACTTGTATGGATTCCATAAAATCTATTTCTGGATATGTGTTCACTATATTTGGCACAACAACCAGTTGGAAAGAAATACTTTAGAAGGTTGTTTCCTTATCAACCATTGAAGCAGAGTTTATTGCCCTCACTAAAGCTGTGAAAGAAGCATTGTGGCTTGAAGGTTTTGCTAAGGAGCTAAAACTTCAAGGTCAAATTATCACTGTTAAATTTGATAGTCAAAGTGCAATACGCCTGTCAAAGGATTCAGCTTATCATGAGTGAATTAAACACATCGATGTAAGACATCACTTCGTCAGAGAGATAATCGAGCATGGAGAAGTCCAAGTTCTGAAGGTTTCGACTAATGAAAATGTTGCTAATATGGTCACCAAAATATTGTCGAGTAGCAAGTATTTTCACTGTACGCAGTTGATAAAACTGCATGATGAAAGCTAGTTTGTTCCCATGTTAGTGTAGAGTTTGTTCCATTGTGGAGATTTGTGGTATTTAGATCGAACTCTAGTGTTGACAAGGGTAGCTTCATGGTTCGACAGGAGTTGTGCATGTTGTAGTTAAAGTCTGTTCAAGCATGCTGTCGAAATATGTTAACTTGTAATTTAAGACAGTATGTCGAATTGGGCCTTGCTTGAAAGTCTAATTGTTTAAGTTTGTTTGTTGCTCAAGTTAGCTTAGTAGTCTATAAATAGACTAGTTCTCTCAGGTTGTTGAAAGAGGTTAATTGTTGTTATTCACTTGTAACCTTTGAACCCTTATTAAGAAAGTGTTGTCTTCTTCATTCTTCTCTCTTTTGTAAACCTAAATAGGGTTTCTTGTGTTTGTTCAAGAAACTCAATCTTTATCTCATAACTTTGTTTTGCTATTGATGACATCGTTTTACAATAGGTGTGTATTGAAAAAATCCTAAGTCTTCCATCAGTTAGAGATAGAGTCTCTAAAAGATTTATATATAGTGACATCCTTCATCTTATGAGTCGGTTTTGTAGGGATGAGTTAGACTCAATCCAAACTCTAATAAGCAGTAACAACATGCACACATATTACTACTTTGAGCGGACATGGATTTCGTTGGATTCAAATTTACAAATTGCACCCGTCCATTTTACCCATCTACAACTGTTTTTTTCACCAACCAACTCGTGTATGTTACCCAACCTAATTGATTGAGCTCAGCTTCATGTCGATTACTAAGTTTTTTGATGGGTCTGATTTGTTGTCCACCCCTAAATTAAATTTTATGTCCCCTTTTTATTTATTTAATAAATTGACCTTAGAAAAAACTGAATATATTCAACTTTTCATCTACCATAATTATGACTATCCTAAATTGAATTAGGGTATCTATTAAAAGTATTACAAAAGTATTTTATTTATACAACTTTTTTATTATTATGTGTGGCATGGTCAAACATATAATTTATTATAGTACATAGTTTATAGATTTTGTACAAAAAGTACAAGTATGAACCTAGTCACAATGGTAGTAATATCCATAATTGCTGAGACTGGGCAATAATTTTCAAGCATTTTTTGTTACATTAAGGAAAGATCCATTTTGATGAAACAGAACGCAACAGAACAACAGTCACTGTTCGATTCTTGTTGAATAACGTGAGTGGCCTTTGCTACCTCTTACTCCTAATCTTCTTTGTCCTTTTTGTTACATTTTATTTCAGTGTCTTAACATTCTACGACGTAACTTTAACGCATCTCTACACCATTCTTGTTTCATTCAACATTCTACATTAGTTAATAATATTGTTTTTCTTTCCCCTCAGGTTCTTTTAGCTTCTTTTTTTTCAACTTTCATTTCTATTGATTGTTTTGGACTCTGCTAAAGCTCGCTAAGTTGTGGTTTTATGTCGAAGTTGTTATGCTCATTTGTTTTTAAATCTTGTAACTGTTATTTCTTACAATTTATATGGAAGTTATGAAGTTGCCTTCTATGTAGCACTAGCACATGGGATTTACACGACAGCGACTTATTCCTTCATTCACCAACGACATAACTCTTTTTGCTTAATAAGTTCTTATTTCCTTACCCTAATTCTTTATTTTCCTGTATGGAAATTATATTTTATAGATGGGAGACGTGGCTAAGGATCTTACAGCCGGTACTGTTGGAGGGGCTGCACAACTAATATGCGGACATCCCTTTGACACCACCAAGGTCAAGCTACAAAGCCAACCTACACCTCTCCCTGGTCAGCTTCCCAAGTATGCTGGTGCGTTTGATGCCGTCAGACAGACAATAGCAGCCGAAGGGGCAGGCGGCTTATACAAAGGAATGGGTGCCCCACTCGCTACGGTAGCAGCCTTAAATGCAGTCTTGTTTACAGTAAGGGGGCAGATGGAATCATTATTGAGGTCACATCCAGGTGCCCCCCTCACAGTGAGTCAGCAGTTTGCTTGTGGAGCTGGAGCTGGTTTTGCTGTTTCCTTTCTTGCTTGCCCGACTGAATTAATCAAATGCAGGTAGCTCCATTGTTCTCGTTTTCTTTCTTTTCTCTTTGTAAATTTTTCATTGGTTTTTATCTCTTTTGAAAGTAATATTTTCTTTGTTCTTTATGAATATCATCTCGTCAGGTTGCAAGCACAAAGTGCACTAGCTGGAAAAGGAGCAGCAGCTGTGGCTGTTAAGTATGGAGGACCAGTGGATGTAGCCAGGGAGGTTCTTCGATCAGAGGGGGGCGTGGGAGGTCTTTTCAAAGGTTTGATTCCCACAATGGGACGTGAGATACCTTCAAACGCGACAATGTTTGGCGTATACGAAGCATTGAAGCAATGGTTTGCAGGAGGCACCGATACTTCTGGCCTAAGTAGAGGCTCTCTAATTGTTGCGGGAGGTTTGGCAGGTGGTTTCTCCTGGTTCATTTTTTACCCGACTGATGTTATTAAAAGTGTGCTTCAAGTAGATGATCATAAGAACCCAAAATTCTCAGGTTCATTGGATGCTTTCAGAAAGATTAAATCTTCTGAAGGAATCAAAGGCCTATATAAGGGTTTTGGTCCTGCAATGAGCAGAAGTATTCCTGCAAATGCAGCATGCTTCTTGGCATATGAGGTGACAAGATCATCTTTAGGATGATTAGTTGATATGGTAAAGCTTAATATCAAATGGTCGCGTTTCTTTCTTTTATTTTTTGTTCCCAAAACTTTTTCATTCCATCAATTACCATATGGCTACACATGCTTGTCATTTGTTATTGCTTCAATAAAAAGTAGCCACTCTTTAACCTAAAGTTATACATATATACATCTTATAATTGAATTTGTTTCATAAAAATAAACTAAAATTGTAAGTGTTATCATTTGGGAATATATATATATATATATATATATATATATATATATATATATATATATATATATATATATATATTGTTGCAGAATAAAAAATGGAGGAGATTGCGGAATCTGCGGTGGAACGAAGCTTCGCGAGTGATTCGATGACTCGGCTTCTTGGACCAAACATCGCAATCATGACACGTCTTGTATTAGAGACGTTGATCTTGAACTAATGTTGCTAATCTCCGGTATGAAGACCTAGGAAGTGGGGTGAATGGTTTGCACTTCAACGCCCAAGTCAGTTTATGATTCAAGATAATCGTAATGTGAGTGGAGTTTAGACATCTGAAATCCTATCGAAAATGTATTTATACATTGAGCTCAATGAAACAGGCGAGGTGAGTGAACCTGATCTTATTGGGCCTTTGGCCAACTCAGAACAATTGTCCATAAGACTCGTCAGAAACTTTGGATGAATGAGGAGTCTTTTAGCAGTCGTGATCGACCTTCAGGAATTGTTATCCACACGTCGACGAACATGTATTGCTTTGGTTTTGCCAAAGTATGATGGGGAACATCAACATTAAATACAGTCTCATCATTGAAACATTTCGCCATTTTTCTCTGGACGTGTGACCTGAAAAGGTAGAGAATGATGTGACGCTTCTTCCTGTGCACTTGAGTTTGATTTTGTTTCCAAGGTGAAATCTGATCTTTGGTTTGCACTTGCTTTTTACTTTCAATCTAACCCGTCCAATTGCTTTCTCCTATATAAGGCTAGAGAAAAGTTAGGGGAATTTTCGAAACCTTTTAGATTGAATTTCCATTATTTCCTTTGAGTCACTTTCTTTTCTCTAAGAGCGTTTTCATGGAGTAACCACCATCACATATTCAAAGCTTTAAAGCTTCAACCTTTAGCATTTTCCTTCATTTCAGTGCCTTTGACCTTATACTTCAGGGTACATTCTTCCAACTCAAGCTTTTTTTCTTCAACCATTTACTGTCTTTTTTTTGTTAAAAAGGGTGATAAACCTATTAACATACAGAGTGATTTAGAAGGTAGCACTTCTTCCTCTTCGAAAAGGGGAATGAAATTTGAATCACATTATTGTTAGAACACAGATTGGTGTTTCTTATATCTCTATGTTTTGATGATAACTCTTATGGAATTTTGTATTAAGAAAATATATACTCTAAAATTTGTTCAAGTATTATTGTTTCAGGTATTAAATTGAATACTCTTAAAGAAGCAAAATACATAAGTACAAGCAACTACGCAAGGATCTGAAGCATCAGATGCAAGACAATCAGAAGACTCTGAAGCGCTGCCAGAAGAATCTGAAGCAGAAGCTGCAGAATGATCTGAAGCGTTTATGAAAGAATTGTATAAAGAGTTGAAAGCTTTGATCAAATCAGACTCTGGAGTTCATTTCACTGCAAGAACAGAGGCTCTGATAATCAGACTCTAATCAAATTAATATTCACGCTCAAAGCACTTACTGCTGCATACTCTGATAAAGACTCTGATCAAGATTGAGACTCTGATATATCAAGTTCTGATCATCTATCAAGCTCTGATCATCTCAAACATTTAGCTCTGATCATCTTAAGTATTTGATTCTTTAAGCTTGTTACAACTTCTGAAGTGCAAATTATGAAGACTTCATCCTGAAGGAAGCTTGTTGAAGAAGCTGTAAACCTGATTGGACGTGGTGCTATTTCCAAAGTAACCAATGACTATTTTGTCCAATGAAGAGACGTGGTACAAATCCCAAAGCTTCTACAACCATACTTTTACTGCAAAAAGCATGTCTCTGCCCATACCTTTTGGTGATGAAAAGTCTTATATCTCAATATAATACTCAGCTGCACATTACTCAAAGAAATTGGAAAAAGCTATAAAAGGAGAACTTCTACAACATTTAGAAGTTGCTAGCTCAATCAGAAAGAAATATTCATACACACGCTTGAAGCATCAAAGTAAAAACTCTCTCAAAGTTCATATACTTTTGTTCTATCATAAAATTGTATAGTTTTATTTGTACTTAATCTTAAGTGTAAATATCACAGTTGTGATACCGCTTATTAGAAGCATTTAAACACTTGTGTAGTTTACATTAATTTGTAAGAAGTTCCTTGAGAAGACCAAGGTGTGGTCAGTAGTTCTTGAGAAGACTAAGACATTTGTTCTTAGTGCTTGCTATTGTAACCAGTTGATTAATAGTGGATTAAGTCCTTGTGGAAAAAGGCAAATCATCTTTGATAAGGTGGACTGGAGTAGTTGAGTTCAACGAACCAGGATAAAAATCTTAAGTTGTTTGTATTGCCATATTTCTTAAAACTCTTATTCAACCCCCCCCCCCCCCTTCTAAGTGTTTTTCTCACCTTCAGTTGGCATTAGAGCTCCGGTTCTGTTTGTGCTATCACTTAACCGTGACCAGAAAAGATCCCGTGGGAAAAACTCTTGATTTTCTTGGTTGATATTCAATATGGCTGCTGAAACTTTAACATCCAGCAACAACAAATATGAAGAAAGTGTCAGCACAAAACCTCCCATGTTTGATGGAGAGAAATTTGACTATTGGAAAGATAGACTAGAAAGTTTCTTTCTAGGATTTGATGCTGATCTTTGGGACTTAGTTATTGATGGATATGTTCATCCCACTTATGGGAATGGCAAGAAAATTAACAGAAAATCAATGACTGAGGCGCAAAAGAAGGAATTCAGAAATTACCACAAGGCTAGAACTATCTTGTTAAATGCTATAGCTCATACTGAGTATGAGAAAATAACCAACAGAGAAACTGCCTTTGATATATTTGAATCCCTGAAGATGACTCATGAAGGGAACTCTCAAGTTAAAGAAACCAAGGCTCTGGCGCTGATCCAGAAGTATGAAGCTTTCAAAATGGAAGAATCTGAATCTATTGAAGCCATGTTTTCCAGATTCCAGATTTCACTGCTGGCTTAAAGGTTCTAGGCAAGGGTTAATCTACAGCAGATCATGTCAAGAAAACAATCAGAAGCTTGCCAATCAGATGGAGACCCATGGTCACTGCTCTGAAGCTGGCAAAGGATCTGAACAAGATTACGCTGGAGGAACTAATCAGTTCTATGAGGAGTCGTGAGATTGAACTAGAGGAAGTTGAGCCTCTAAAGAAAGGTAAGTCAATTGCTTTAAAATCTAATAAATCTGCTAAAACATTGCAGATAATAGAAGAAAGCTCTAAAGAATCTTCTTCTGAAGATGAAGAAGAACTATCCTTGCTGTCTAGAAGAATCAACAAACTCTGGAAGAATAAGCAAAGGAAGTTCAAGAACTTCAGGAAACCAGATCAACACAAAGAATCTTCTGGACACAGAAGATCTGGAGAACCCTCTGGTTACAGAAGATCTGGAGAATCCTCTAGACACAGACGATCTGGAAAAAGAGAGGTTGTTTGTTATGAATGCAAAGAACCTGGGCACTACAAGAGTGAATGCCCAAAGCTTCAGAAGGAGAAGCCAAAGAGAAAGTCAGATCACAAAAAGAAAGTTCTGATGGCTACTTGGGATGACTCAGATGCATCTGACTCGTCATCAGAGTTAGAAGAAGAATGTGCTAATGTAGCATTCATGGCCGACATAGAAGAAAGTGTTGAATCATCTGGATCAGAATCAGAATCTGATTCTGAGGAGGTATTTGCTGAACTTTCTAGACAAGAACTTGTTGAAAGTCTATCTGATATTCTTGAAAACTATAGCAAAGATAAACTCAAATACAAAAAGCTTCTAAAGCATATTGAATTTGAGAGTAAAAAGTTTGAATCAGAAATAGCTGAGCTAAAAGCTGAAAATCTTCAATTGAAAAATAATTTAGAATCTGCTCAACTAAACTCTGATCCAAATTCTAAACCATGCTCTAAAAATATTTTACAAGAGTATGACTATAGCTTCAGGAAGTTTCTAACTAAAAGCCTAGACAGAAGCAAGATGGCTTCAATGATCTATGGTATTAGTAGAAACTATAGAAAAGGTGTTGGATATAAATCTTTTTCTTATGAGGATTCAAATCCAAAATCTGTAGATAAACTGGATATCAAGTATCCTCCTTTATATTCTCAGTTTACATTTGGTCACTTAAATGATATTAAACACACAAGTTCTAATCAGAACAAATCTGTGTTTAATAAATCTAAAGCTAATCAGAACAAGTCTTATGTTGAAAGACAGAAGTTCAGAAAAAGCTTTAAGGCAACTAACCAAAAAGGACCCAAGAAAATTTGGGTACCTAAGGATAAGATAATCTATGTTGCAGACATCCTTAGCAGCGAAGTCAAGACTCCAGTCATGGTACCTGGACTCTGGATGCTCACGACATATGACGGGAAAAAGGTCTATGTTCCAAAGTCTGGAGCTTAGATCTGGAGGAGACGTCAAGTTTGAAGGGAATCAGAAGGGCAAGATAATTGGCTCTGGAACCATTGGCAATGGTAAACTTCCTTCCATAACTACTGTCTTGCTTGTTGAAGGATTAGCTCATAATCTATTGTCCATAAGTCAATTAAGTGACAATGGTTATGACATAATCTTTAATCAAAAGTGTTGCAAAGCTGTTAGTCAAAAGGATGGCTCAATCCTCTTTAATGGTAAATGGAAAAACAACATTTATAAAATCAATCTTTCAGAACTTAAGGTTCAAAATGTTAAATGCCTTACGTCTGTTAATGATGAGCAATGGGCCTGGCACAGAAGATTGGGTCATATTAATATGAGACGTATATCTCAGATTAATAAACTTAATCTGGTCAGAGGACTTC